GGGGGGGGGGGGGGGGGGGGGGGGGGGGGGGGGGGGGGGGGGGGGAGCTCCAAACCAGGACACAACGGGTTAACAAACCAGCACATGACAGCATGAAAACAAGACATGCAAAACAAGACCTTGTGTTTTCCAATCTTGGTTTATTTATTTATTTATTTTATTTATTTGATTTGTCAATTGTTTACAAGATAATAAGTACAAGTGTATACATAGTTGTGAATATATGAAATGGGTACATATAAGAAAAATAAAAGAATAAGAGAAACAATAGGACAGGGACGGTAGGCACGTTGGTGCGCTTATGCACGCCCCCTACAGACCTCTTAGGAAAGGGGTGAGGTCAATAGTAGACAGTCTAAGGTTAAAGTTTTTGGGGTTTGGGGAAGAGACTACAGAGTCGGGTAGAGTATTCCAGACATTGACCACTCTATTGCTGAAGTCGTATTTCCTGCAATCAAGTTTGGTGCGGTTTACTTTGAGTTTGTATCTATTGTGTGCTCTTGTGTTGTTATGGTTAAAGCTGAAGTATTCATTGACAGGTAGGACATTGCAATGTATGATTTTATATACCATGCTTAAGTCGGACCGAAGATGGCGTAATTCGAGGTTTTCTAGTTTTAGAATTTCGAGTCTGGTGGCGTAAGGTATTCTATAACGGGTAGAAGAGTGGAGAACTCTTCTTGTGAAATACTTCTGGACTTTCTCAATTGTGTTAATATCACATACGTGATAAGGATTCCAGACTGATGAACTGTATTCGAGTATTGGTCTAGCAAATGTTTTGTATGCTCTGGTTAGTAGTGAGATATTACCAGAGAAAAAGCAACGTAGGATTAGGTTAACAACTCTTAATGCCTTTTTGGCTATGTAGTTGCAGTGAGCTCTAGCACTTAGATCATTAGAGGTGAGTATTCCCAGGTCCTTTACAGAGCTTGGGTCATCAACAAGATCTTGACTATTCAGCTTGTATTTTATTTTCTGATTTTTTTTACCAATATGTAAGACAGAGCATTTATTTGTTGAGATTTGGAGTTGCCATATGTTAGACCATTCAGATACATAGTCTAGATCTTTTTGAAGGGTAGTTATATTGTCTGTGGTATTGAACAGCTTTACATCATCAGCGAAGAGAACGCAATTGCTCTTGATATGATCACAAAGGTCGTTTATGTAGATTATGAAGAGAGTTGGTCCTAGAACACTGCCTTGGGGAACACCACTATTGACAGGTACTGGATTTGATAGGGCGTTCCCAATTTTGACCATTTGTTGTCTGTTTGACAGGAATGCTTCTATCCAGTTATTCAGTTGTCCAGAGATACCATAAGATTTTATTTTTAGGAGTAGTTTGTCGTGTACCACTGAATCAAAGGCTTTGCAGAAGTCTATGTAGATTGCGTCTATTGCTTTGCCCTGGTCGAGTTGTGTCGTCCATATGTTTTTGCAGTGTAAGAGTTGCAGATTACAGGATAGTTTTTTTCTGAAACCAAATTGTTTATTGGAGAGTAGGTTGTTTGTCTCTAAATGGAGGATGATGGATTGGTTAATAATTGATTCCATGACTTTACAGGTGACGCAGCATAAGGAGATTGGTCTGTAATTTTCAACTAGGCTTGGGTCTCCCTTTTTGAAGATGGGAATGACTGTGGCTTGTAACCATAGGTTGGGCAAGGAGCTGGTTCTGAAAGATTTTTCAAAGATTATGCTTAGAGGTTTGGCTATGGCAGCGGATAGTTTTCTTAAGAAGTAGGCACATATTCCATCCGGTCCAATAGATAGAGATGGTTTTAGGTTGCGTAGTGCTTTTTCAACATTGTCTACTGTAAAATCGATATGTATTAGATCATTATTGTTGTTTGTGGTACGGCTAGGAAACATTGGGCATGATCCATTACTGTTTACAAACACTGAGCCGAAGAATGTGTTAAAGATGTTGGCTTTAATGGTGTCGTCGCTGCAGTCTTTACCATCAGGTCCTATCAAGGGAGGGATGGACCTTGAGTCTTTTAGTTTGTTGTTTACAAAATTGTAAAAAGCACGGGTGGAATTGGTGCTTAGAAGGTTTTCCTCTTGTTTAATGTGGTAATTGGTGCATTCGGTCTTTATCTGGTGGCATAAATTTTTGTATCGGTTTTTGAAATTAGCAACGTGACCAGATTTGTTTTTCCGCCAGAGTGATCTCTTTTTGGATTGAAGTTTCCTTATTGATATGGGTAATCTGCTTTTTTGTTTTGTTTTTGGAGTTGTTGTTGGAACATATAGTTTGATGACTCTTTTGACTTCAAGTAAAAATATGTTGTAATGGTCTTCAACAGTATTGCATCCAGTGAATAGAGATTGCCAATCGAGGGATGAGAGATCGTTATCTATAAGATCATAGTTGCCTTTTTTGAAGTTACAACTAGGGATGACATCGTTGTGGTGATTTTTGTGTGGACGTATGTTGAGGCAAAAGTCAATCATATTGTGATCACTACTGGAAAAGGGTTCTTTGGTTTGTATTCGGTAAATTAAATTCAAACTATTGCAGAAGATGAGATCGAGGCAGTTGTTCAGTCTAGTGTTGTTGGTTACTAGTTGTTCAAGACCTAGATTTGTAATAGCATTGTAGAAGGTTGTGTGTATGATTTCAGTTGTACAATTATTTAGGGTCCAGTCAATATGAGGTAGATTGAAATCTCCAAGAAAGATAAAAGGGTATGGGCAGGATGTAGCCCATGTTAGTAGTGTATTTAGCTTGTTTACATGTTCGATGTCATAATCAGGTGCTCTGTAACATAGTAAGAATCGAATTGTGATATTTAAGGATAGTTTACAGATGATGGTTTCAGGAAGGGCAAGCTCCTGGGTAACTTGGATATTTTTTAGATGTAAGGATTTTTTATAGAATATAGCAACACCACCTCCTCGACGATTTTTACGATCTGATCGGTAAACATGATAGTCTCTTACTGTGGTAATGGAGTCGGGGAGAGATGCATTGAGCCATGTTTCACAGACAAATATAATGTCGAAGTTAGCCATATTTAAGAGGATGAGAAATTCAGGTATTTTATTCACGAGGCTTCTTGCATTGAGTAGTTTGCATTTAAGTCCGGCAGCAGTTGGGATTGAGGTAGTTGGGGGCGTGCGTGCCTAGTCTTGGGTGATGGTGGGTGGTGGGTAGTTTTGGGTGATGGTGGGTGGTGGTAGGTGGTTGAGGTAGGGTAGTAGTTGAGGGTAAAAGTTGGGTATTGGGTTGCGTGTCTTACTTTTGATGCAGTCAGCATGGTAGTCAATGTACAGGTCCTTCTCTCCATTGTCTAGACGGGTTTTGAGTTCGATGCGGAGTGCACGGGAGCGGGCACGTTGCTGTATGGTTAAGTCAGGGCGGCAACGGAGGTTTTTGTGGTTGGTGTTGGTTTTGGCAAGTGAGTTTATAGTGTAAATGAGTTTACGTTTGCTTGATTCATTTTTGCAAATGATCCTGCACAAGCGTGGGGCCACAGAGCCGTCTCTATTTTTGAGCTCTCGGTCAATGCGGGAAATGTCAAGTATTTCATCGCCGGAGATGGTTGATGCTTGGTAATCGTTGATGATGTTTCGGACAGTTGTGATGTCATCATTGACAATGCTGTCTTCTAGTCCAAATAAGATGGCGTTTGGACGTTTCCGTTCACGCTCAACAGCTTCTCTGATGAGGATTGGGATATCAATATTTGTCTGGGTTGCGTTTATTTGTGGATTGGGTTTTGGATTGGATTGTGGTTGTTGGGTGGAGATGTGGTTTGTGGCTATTTGATGTTCAGGTTTTTGTGTTGTGTCTTTTTTTTCAAGGTTGGTTATTCTTTCTTTTACGGCGTCCAGGGATGCTAATATGGTTTACTTTAAGAAGTAAAGTAACAACTCCCAGAATTCCCTAGCCAAACGCTAAAATTAAACTAACGCGAACCTTAAAAAAAAATTGCACTGAGGACGCCTAGAATAAAAACAAAATAAAAAAAAACAGGAATTCCCAACTCCCTACGGGCGCTCCAACCAAAATCGCATCGACTCGATCAACGATCGATTGTGCCCTCGGGCACAATCACACACATACACACAAGGCAAAGAGAGCCGGGTTCCCCCTCCTCCCTGCTTTTCCATCGATGTATCCGCTCTCAACTCGCCAATCTTGGAAGGCTTCCAGAAAGAGGCGGAGGAAAGGTGCGCGAGGAGGGAGAAGGAGGGGCTTCTCGGGAACCACCCCTCTTTTGGCTTCTCATTGGTTACTAGAAAGCCGGGGAGCAGCGGATTGGCTAGAGTCTCTCCTTTTTAGCAACGACCCGCCTTCTTTCGGCGCGTTCCGCTTCATTTCGGCTTCGGAGGTCGAGGCGGGCGGAGCTCCGTCGCTTCTCTTCCGTTAGCGCCGCGCTCGCCGGCGGGGCGAATCCGAAAGCGATGGGGCGACCTCCGGCCGCCTCGCTGGCCTTCCTGACGCTGCTCCTGCTTGCCTCCCAGCCGCCTGCCGTGGCTCCGGGACCGCCCTGGGGCAGGACTGGCCCCCCGGGCCCCCCCATCGTGCTGGGTAAGGGGACGGAGGGGGGATTAGGGTTAAGTACTACAGGAGTCCCCCCCCCTTTCTGGATCAGCGGAGGCGGGTTTGCAGGTCGTGGGGATGCCGAACGCGTGTCGGCCCCCTCATTGGGTTGCTTTGCAAAAGGGGGCTCCCGACGTGACAAAAAACAACAACACCCACCCCCGCACCAAAAATAAGGAGTCAGGCCAAATCCCACGCGTGTGCATGGTGAAAATAACTGGACCGCCTCGTCCCCGGGGCCAAAACAAAGCTGCACGCGGCGAAGGGGAGTCGTGGGAAACGCGCTCCGACTGCAACCGCCGCGGCTCTTTTGCAAAAGTTTCAGGGCTCTTTGCGGTGGCTTGCCGAGAAACAGGCTGGGCGGGAGGTATCTGGGGTTTTGTCTCTCTGGTTTTCTCCCACCTACGTAACCGTACTTGCTGGGGGCCGATTTGCCTAATTTGGGGTTGTGGAATAATGGAAGGATGGGCTTCTGGGAGTCGTTGTTGTTGCAACCCTAAATTAATGGGAGCAGAACTGGAGGGGGAACTCACACACACACACTTTTTTTTTTTTAACAAAAGGAAAGTCGGTGGAAATGCAGTAATAGGTGCATTAAATTTGATTAAATGTCATCTTCTATCAGAATGGGTGTCTCTTAGTGAAGTGGTTTATGAACTTTTTTGGGGTGGGAGAAGAGAAACCAAGAAACAGCTCAGGCTGTCTGTATAGAATTGGGCTGAGAGATGGGGTGATTGATATTGGGAAGGGAAACCAGCCAGGGTTACTTAACTGTACCAAACACCTTGCAGGTTTTACAAGTCATTTATTTCTTCTTGGGAGTACCTTCTACTTTTCTGGATTCAGAAATGGATTCTTTAGATTCTTTAGACAATGAGATACTTTTCTTGATTGGGAAAACCTGCAGGACTAATTCTAGCATTAAAAACAGGTTCAGGGCTGGACTTGAAGACCTCCAAGGTTGTTTTTCCAGCTCAGTTCTAATTTTGACCCTGGCCTTTTAAAATACCGGTTTTGCTTTTGTGCTTTAAGGCAAAAGCAGAAATAAAATAAAAGATCTGTTTATCTTTTGAAACTAGGAACAGATGTCTCTAAGTCTGCTAATGGCTATAATCATTATTGATGCAAGAAGACACTTATCAGTGCAAAATAGGAGCCAGTCTCTCTATGGTATCTGGGTATCAGTGTAACTTCTGTGTCATGTTAAAAAGGCTGCTAAACTAAACTCTTTAACTTCTCTTATGGTCTACATCCAGGCTCCTATGTTTCCAAGAGAAATAATGGATTTTTTAAGAGCATCCAGTCTATCTGGGGAAATTCCTATCACACCAGTTTTTCCTTGCAGAAATTTGTGACGCCTGTTGATTTTCAGACTATGACACTAAAAAGAAATCACCCTTTTTATTTCACTTGTAGGCGTTATTGTACTGAGATGAATAGGAAAAATTAGCAAGTTTTTTTTAGCTAATTACAATGTGTTTTACAGGAAGGGTTGTTTTCTTGCTTAAGAAACTAGGTATAACAGGAACTGTATATTTAAATTGTGAGCTGTTGAATTCATGAAAAAGAAAAAAAAACATGGGTGCCTTTTTTTCAGCTATTTTGCCTTCATGGAAAAAAAATGCTTTGGCGTTTAATCTGAGGCTGAAAATGAGATTATATGCATCATGTGATAGGCAGATGTTCAAGATAGGACTGTAATTCAATAACTAAGCATTCTGTTATGAGTAAGATTTTTTTTTAAAAATTAACTGGCTTCTGTAAGAATTCCAAATACATAAGTTTTATACTCATTTATGGGACAGTATTAGTTTCTTTTCTCTCAAATTTTTTGAGTAGAAAACACTTGGTAGTTGAGTGCCCAGGAGAAGGGGTTGGTGAATGCAAATATGTTCCAGGTGCAAATAGCGGAACACTAGACTTCTAGGTCTGAAAGTTTTGTCCAAAGCTTAAGCCCTGAAAAGCAAACCTGTTTTTTTTAGGTTGTTATATTTTTATTTAAATTAAATGGTTCATTAGGAAAGTTATGTTTCATTTCTCCAACCAATCGAATGTTGGAAGAAAAATAAGAGAACTACCATTAACAGGTAGAACTACCCCAAAAGAGAAACAGGATCAACTTGATTTGTTGGAAGAAGGTATGGATTTCATATGAAAAGGAGCTGAATTTGAGGGAAGAAAAATTTCAGACAGCTTCCTCACTGGAGTGGGAGGTCCACAATAGTGCCAGAGATTTCTGAGTCCCTCATTCTGAGTACACCACATGACCACAGAAATGTCTTCGGACAGTGCTGGATCAATGGCCTTGAAATGGAGCTGAGCATGCCACCCCCTAAAGTTTGCAGCTTCTAGCGGAGTAAAATCTGTGGGGACTCCTTTTATCTTTTTTTTACCTGGTTGCCATGGCAATGGAGACCCGAGTTTGTCACTGAGCACAGCAGTCGTAAAGCATCACGCGACAGCATGGCTTAGCGACAACAATCCTGACACGTCTCCACTGTCATTAAGTGAGTACCTGACATGACCGCCCACTTGTGATGTCCTCCCAGCTTCCAACGAAGTCAGTGGAGAAGCCTGCTGGAAGTTGGAAGTCCAGGAGAAGTAGCTCAGGAATGGGGCATGGTAGAGAGGGAGCTGTGGTATGGTGTGAGTCTGGCTGGGCATTGGGGTAGGGGGGCTTCTCAAGAGAAGAAGCAGGAGTTGGCTTCCCCATTGATTTGGCTTCGTTTATCCCTGTTTATGGAACAAAGTTGCGTTTTCTTTTTACTCCGATGAACACTTCTTGGTTGCCTTATTCTGCTTGCTCAGACCTTAAAGGGGAGGAAAAAATACAGGTAGTCCCTGACTTATGGCCACAATTGAGCCCAACATTTCTGTTGTTAAGTGAAACATTTAAGTGAGTTTTGCCCTGTTTTACGATCTTTCTTGCTACAATTATGTGCATCACCGCAATTGATGACAATAACATGGTTGTGGAGTGAATCTGGCTTCCCGGTTGATTTTGCTTGTCAAAAGATTGCCAAAAAAAAAAGTGATCACATGACCTTGGGACACAGCAACGGTCATAAGTATGAGTCAGTTCCCAAGCATCTGAATTTTTGATCACACGATCCTGGGGAGGCTGCAGAAGTGGGGAGTGAGAAAAAATGGGCCCTACGTCAACTTCTTTCGGTGCCATTGTAACTTTGAGCACTAAATGAATTGTAAGTTGAGGACTACCTGTACTGGAGATGAGCATCACAGAAGGGGGCATGAATGAATGGCTAAGCACATCATTTTAGGTTGCTTTAATGTAACTCTATTCCCACATGCAGGTTTATTCAGCTACCATGTAGTTCTGAAGCAAAGGTATCTCTATTTGTATTTTCTTCCTAGCTAGATGTTGCTTCTTGTTGATATGTTTTTCTACATGTCCCATGCTTGTCCCCGAGTTCTAAAAATAACCTCCTGAGTAACTGTTTGTTGATTCACATACGTAGTTTTGTGAACTGTTCTTGGACAGTGAGGAGTAATGTTCCACAATTCTTGGAAAAAACAGACTTGTGGCATAAGTAAACCTCATTCCAGGGGTGTGTTCCAGGGGAGAATGAATTTAAAGAGAGGGAAGGACAAAACCAGGGGAGACAAATATGTCCTGAACTTTGCAAAGGGATCCAGAAGCTTAAATTCTTAATCAGTTTCAAGATAATAGTTGTCTAAAATTTCTAATGATCTGTATCAGGTTTCTAATTAGCTAACCGCATTGGAGTTTTTCCAACCTTCCTGAAAATAGTTTTCATGAGTTATTCTCTCCAGTTATAGCACAGCTTTTCTGAATATCTGTAAACAAAATGCCTGAAAGTCTTTAGGAATAATTCATATCCACCTTGCTTTTGCTTGAAAGAATCAGAATAGAGCTGGAAAGGACCTTGGAGGTCTTCTAGTCCAGGCCCTGCTAAATCCTGCACCACTTCAGACAAGTGGCTGTCCAGTCTCCTCTTAAAAACTTGCATTAATGAAGCACCCACAGCTTTTAAAGGCAAGCTGTTCCACTGGCTAAGTGTCCTAAGTGTTAGGAAAGTGCTCCTTAATTCCAGGTTGCATCTCTCCTTGATTAGTTTCCATCCATTGCTTCTTGTCCTGCCTTCTGGTGCTCTGGAAAATAAATTGACCCCCTCTCCTTTGTGTCATCCCCTCAAATACTGGAATACTGCTATCATGTCCCCCCATCATGTCCTTCTTTTCTCTAGATTAGCCAAACCCAAATCCTGCCACCGTTCTTCATAAGTCTCCATGCCTTTGATCATCTTAGTTGGTTAGTTTTTCCAAAGTCTCAACATCTTTTTTTTTGTAGCGTAGTGACCAAAACTGGATGTACTATTCCAGGTGTGACTTTACGAAGGCTTTTACAAAGCGGTACTAATACTTCATGTGATTTTGATTCTATGCCTCTGTTTAGAAAACCAAGGATTGTATTAGCTCTTTTGGCTGCTGCCGCACACGGCTGGCTCGTATTTAAGGGATCATCCACTGGGACTCCAAGGTCCCTCTCACAGTTAGTTTTTGAGCCAGGTTTCGCCTAACCTGTACCTGTAGCCTTGGTTTTTTTCCTTCTCAGGTGTAAAAACCTTGCTTTCCTCCACATTAAAATTAATTTTGTTGGATAGGGCCCATTGTTCAAGGCTGTCAATATATATATTTTGGATCCTGAGCTTGTCTTCTGGGGTATTGGCCATTCCTGCCAGCTTAGAGCAGAGGTCCTCAAACTTGGTGACTTTAAGACTTGTGGACTTCAACTCCCAGAATTCCTCAGCTAAAGTCCCCTAGCTAGCTTTGATGACGAAGGTAGAACTAGGACTCAGTTTCCTGATGATTGGCCCAAAGTCACCCAGCTGACTTTCATGCCTAAGGCAGGACTAGAACTCCCAGTCTGCCGCTTTCTAACCTGGTGCCTTACCCCTAAACTAAACTGGCTGTTTATTAACTTCTGACTTTTGAGAAGCTTCTGTTAGTAGCTTTTGGAAGTACAAGAAGAAACCTCCAGAGCATTCCTTATGACAATTTGTATAAAAAGGTCTACTAAGGAAAGATTTGCAACAGGGTATTTTCTAATGGGATGAGTTGTGTGTTGGTGCTTTGCTATTTGCATAGTAATACGTGGTGAGGCAATGTTCTCTTAACAGAACAGATACATGAATGCCATTTTCTGTTGGTATAGAAAGCCTAACCTCTCTTCATTCAATTAGTTTAGCTGAATGTGCACTGTCCCAAATCTTGAAAAATATAAGGGGAATCTGGCCTGTTTGTTAAATGGATTGGAGGCCACCAGGAGATTTATAAAGCTCTAACCTGGATTGGGACATTACAGTCCACACGGGAGGCGGTGAATTGCCTCTCCCTGCTCACCATTTCTGTCTTCCCTTTGCACACATACAAACCACAACTCCTGTGTGGGTTTCTGCAGTGTTGAAATCCCATTGACTGTGTGGGAATCCAGAAAAGAAGTATCGGATTGTGACAGTCCCACTTGGTTGCTGCTGTCATCCTGTCAATCCTATTGCTTTGTTTTCAACATGACAGGGATACCCATAAGTTCTCCCATGGAAGCTGTTTATACTGCTAATGTCACTTAGATGTTTTATGAGCTCTGGTTGCGCAGTGGTTATTGCAGGCTAACTCACTGCCGAGCGCCAGCAGTTCGATCCTGACTGGCTCAAAGTTGACTCAGTCTTCCATCCTTCTAAGGTCGGTAAAACGAGGACATAGATTGTTGGGGGCAATAGGCTGACATTTGTAAACTGCTTAGGGCTGTAAAGTACTGGGAAGTGATATATAAGTCTAAGTGCTATCGCTATTATAGTATGTCCTCCTTGGCAGAAATTTTTGGCTTCTAATCACTTTCTGGATGCCATAAATATAATAGATTTCCATTGGAATATTTCAGTGGCAGAGAGAAACACATTGTTGACTTGTTGCCCATTTTCTACTTTGTTTTGTGTTCACGTACACACAAACACTATTTTTTTTAATGATTTTTTTTATCAAAGGTAAAGACGAATATAAAATAATATAAAGTGAAAAGAAAAAAAGTGCACAAGAAATAGGAAGTAGCTTCTGATATTTTTTTTTGCAACAGTTATAAATACGAATACAAAAGTATCTTTTACTGGAAGGTTACAAAAACAACATTTTTTCCTTTTTGTTATATTATTGCAAATCTTGTTACATTATACTGTTTCCAAAAAAACCCCAATGATGTTTATACTCCTTGAAAATAGTCTTGCAATACCCAAGTCTTTTTCCCCCCCTGTTTCCATGCACAATTATTTCTTGCTTTATTCATAAGGCACAATTCGAGTAAATCTGAATTCATTCCAGCAAATGATAGGTATTATTGTAGGTGAAAACCTATTCAGCAGAACCACTGCAATTTGTACATACTGACAGTGACAGTTTTAAACGTAACTGCATGGTATCTGCAATCTGCACAGGTAGAATTTACAACCCACCCTTTCAGTGAACGTTTGACGTTACAATGGCATTGAAAAAAGTGACTTATGGCCAACCTCGCCCTTATGACCGTTGCAGCATCCCTACAGTCGTGTGATCAGAATTTGGGCGCTAGGCAGTAGACCTATAGGGTTTTAGTATCATGGGGGGTCCCGTATTCACCCTACCCTATTGACACTGCTTGGTGATCATTTAATTCTGGAACACTGCAAACATCATCAATAGATTCCAATTGCTAAGCCCCTCCCCCCAATTCTGATCACGTGACCCAGGGTATATTCTGCAGATAATACTTTTTTAAAAATAAACTTTGTTAATCTTTTATAACTTTAAAAACAGACAAAAAGTGTACATATCTTGACATTAACAGTTTGTGGCATTCATCTTATACTCCTGTTTTGTGCATTATTTACAAATATATACAGTTTATGCAAATGTAAGAATTTAACCTATATATTGCTTATCGTTAATCTTTCCATCTTCCATCTATCTTAGCTCAATCCAGCTCTACCATTTTCCCCAAATTCTATAATACTCAAACTCCTCTTTCTCTTGTAACATCAAGGTTAATTTATCCATCTCAGCACCAGTCATTATTTTTTTGGATAATAAATTCATCTGGTGGTACATTTTTAGGCTTCCAACACTGGGCATAGGCAATTCTAGCTGCCATTAAGATATGTAACATTATATGTTTTATATTTCTCCCATAATTCTTTTTAAATATCCCCAGCAAGAATAGTTTCCGTTCCAGATCTATTTGTTCATTAGTGATCTCTTGTGGCCATTTTTTAAATTTTTAGCTGGTATTTTTGAGTCTCCAGGCAGGACCACCACATGTGGTAGAATGTACCCTCTTTCTTCTTACATTTCGAACATGCTGGATTCACGTTGGGATATATCTTCGCCAATCTCGAAGGAGGCAGATACCATCTATAAAACATCTTATAGAGGTTCTCTTTAGACCTTTGTTAAAATCCTAACAGGACTTGTTTTGCCAGCAGAGAATGTGATGTCTTTGGCTCAAATAAAACACAATCCACTTTGAGCCCAATGAAATCCACAGACATGCTTAGGAAATAAACATGGGAGATTTATTGCTGGCCCAGTTCTTTGTTAAGTGTGCCACCTGATTAGGAATGGGGGTGGGGTGGGAAATGCTAAGCTGAGATTCTAAATCTGGCTGGGGAATTCTGGGAGTTGAAGTCCAGGTTTCTTAAAATGGGGTCAAGTTTGAGAAACACTGTTTTGAGGGATACGGGTAGTCTTCGACTGAACAACCCACAGTGCTAAGTGAAACTTCTTGTTATAAGTGAATTTTGCCCCATTTTGCAACCTTTCTTGCCACAGGGGTTAAGTGAATCACAGCAGCGGTTAAGTAAGGCTTCGCTTGTAAGAAGCAAAGTCACTTAACCTTCCCCTATAGACTTTGCTTGTAAGAAAGTCACACCAAGGGATCACGTGACTTCCCCTGGACACAGCCACCGTCATAAACATGAGTTGGTTGCCAAGCACCTGAATTGTGATCACGAGGATGCTTGCAACGGTCGTAAAGTGTGGGAATACGGTCATAAGTCGGGTTTTTCAGTGCCGTTGTAACTTTGCATGGTCACTGAATGAACTGTTGTAAGTCAAGGACTACCTGTATTGCTGGGAATCCACCTGACTGATTTGCTTTCTGAGAAGCCTTCCCCATAACTTTCAACAATTCTACGGTGTGTCAACTAAAAAGATTCTCCTTTGGTCTTTTCAGCTGCCAGAAAAAGGGAGTGGGAGAAAACAGTGCATTCCTTAAGTGCCTAGATAATCACCCTGTCAGCCCAAAGTTGTCGGAGCGCAAAAATATTGCTGGAGAGCATGATTTATGACTCCTGGGGATGGATGTGTCCCATTGGAGAAGTCACATCCAGGGGGTGGGGGAAAGACCAGGGTCTAGGAGGAAATGAAAGATGTATTTTAGTATCGGCTGCACCCAGCTAACACCAACATGGCCACTTCTAATAAACCAACTTTCTTTTCTCTGAGATGTGGCTAGAGACTTATGATTTGAAAGGGGGTGGATTTGTTGGAGTCCTGACACGGCGCCCATGGAGACCAGAAAGAGTTTTACGTAGGAAAATAAAACGCGATGTGTTCCCAAGCATCTAAGGCAGGGGTCTGCAACCTGCAGCTCTGGAGCCACATGCGGCTCTTTTGGTCCTCTGCTGCGGCTCCCTGTTGGCTGGCCCCTCCCCTCCCTGTCACTCCTTGCCTGGCTTGAGAAGGTAAGGGTGATGGCGCGGGACGGAGACTCGCTCCATATTCCAGAGCAGGAGGTGACTGGGTGGGAGTGAGTGACGTCGAGTTGGCCACTCCCACCCAGTCACACCAGTTGTTAAATTATTGGCTCCCGGTGTTTTCTGTGGGAAAGGGGCCCGAACGGTTGTTTAAGGTTGCAGACCCCTGACCTAAGGCAATGTTTGAGAGAAAAAGGGGCTTGGATTAAATTGACAGAATTTCATGTTTAAGTCTTCCTGTCTTGTATAATTACAGTGCCAGGAGATTTGGGAAACCAGCTAGAAGCCAAGTTGGACAAACCATCCGTGGTGCACTATCTCTGCTCTAAGAAGACAGACAGTTATTTTACATTGTGGCTGAATTTAGAATTGTTGCTTCCAGTGATCATTGACTGCTGGATAGATAATATCAGGTGGGCCGCACTGTTGTTTGTATCATTCAGTCAGATACCGGTAGTTCGGGTGGTCATTTGGCCCCTGCCCCTGCCCCGCCCTGCCCTTTATTTCCGTGTGTTTGCAGCTCAGCTGACTTGCACGGCACAGTTCTTTTGCCGCGCCTCAGCTGTTTTACTCACTGGGGCTGCCGCAGAAGGGTAAGTATTAGAGCTGAAAATGGGCGGTTTTCAAACTTTGCATGTGCCCGCAAAGCGCGCCCTCACCAAACCGATTGTTACACTGCTTGAATCCCACCACCGGGGAGGGTGTATGTGTGTTTGTGTGTGTGTGTGTGTGTGTGTGTGTGTGTGTGTCAAAAGACTGGCTAGAAATTAAGAACAATCCTGAATTAAGAGAAAAGATTCTTTGCAACCAGTAAGTGGATTTATTTAGGAATTTACAGGTTGTCCTGATTGATTACGAGTCTGGGATGGGGTGAGGTTACCAAGTACAGCAATATTGTAACACCTGATGATGTTACCTAGTTTGGTAGTGAAATGCCTAGTTTGGTAGTGAAAACAACCAAGCTCAGAGAGCATTATTATAAATTAGTTAAACCCTCCAAAGTCTAGAAAAAAAGCAATCATTGATCAGAAAACCCTACCAAGGGTTCTATTACCCACTATAATTCTTAAATTTATTTTAATAAAATGCTTTTAGAGTAAAATATATATATATCTAAAGATAGTTTTCTATTTAAGATACATTCATAATTTAGCACGAAGTGGGGCTTAATTATGTAGCCTGAGGCTGTATATATTCTGCAATATTTACATTTTTGGGAAATTCATTCCGTGAATCCAAGCTCTGCAAGCTAAATAGGAAACCTTCATTTTGTTTGCAAATAACAATGTTAAAGATTCTAACTACCAGCAGGAACGAGTCCTTGCGTTTAAAGAGCACCTGTCACTTCAGATCCATCATGGCAGCGTCCCTCCCCTTGTTGTGTCCCTTAAAAGGACATTAACATTCCCATTAAAGGGAATGGGACTGTTGGTGAGTCCACAGTCGTCAGAGGAGGAGCTGCTGTGGGACAGTGGTGACGTTGCTCTTTAAAAATTATGATTTAAATCCAGTTGATTTTAAATCAAGCCTTTTTTACTAGTGGTTTAAATTGCGATTTAAATCAAATCCACCCTGATACTGAGGGATCCATCATCCCCAATTCAGGTCCTGGAGAGAGAGCCAGATTTTAAGGCTCATGGGAGAATGGTAACTCCAAAAGGATGTGGCATTATGGCAGAGGATGCTTAAGGTTTAAATTTTGTGACATTACATGGATAAACCGTGGCCAAGACTCTTTGAGTTTTCAATAGTTACCCATCTTGCACTGTGCTTTTTAAGCATCTGACTGTGCACGTTAGCTACAGAGTTAATGATCAACTCGGTTGCCACAAGAACATTTAATACTTCAAAAAGAACAAACAATACAGTTGATGTAATGTAGTCTTCCCCCCCACCCTGCCTCTAACCAGAAAGTAGAAGCAAGATAATAAATATATTGTTCATTTACTGGTCAAAATGACCAAGTACAGCCATTATGCAATTGATGTAACTAATGGCGTTGTCCAGAAAGAGACAGATTAAGTGAAGCCATTAAAATGGTGAGATTTCAGGATTGATAGGCCATCCATGCTTCTATTGACTTGGATTATAAAGGAGTGGAGAGCACCACTGGCTAAGAAAAATGACCTGGCAATTAAGTTGAACCCAATTAACTAACAGTGTTGGAATAATAATTCCCAGAATTCTTACCTGTAAGACCTGTTGACCATGGTGATTACGAATTCTGAGAACTGTAGCCCAGTACCTTTGATTGGGAAAGGTGAACTAACGGTAATTCTCAGGATCCTTTTGTAATAGTTAAATTTTAATTTTTTTGGACTTGCAGTGTTAAATGAATACATTTCTTAGGCTACATTAACTCTTCTAGAAAAACTTGGTTAAACTACTCTACTCAAAGCTGACTGACAAATGTCCCAACTCTTTAAGTGGAATGCGCCAAAAAGCAGGCTAATGTTTACAGCGCATTCAACTTACCAATAAATTATTTAAGGAAGCCAGCTTATTTTTGCCCTGCAATGGTAGGTTTGCTCTGATACTGGAAGCCGATGTTGAAGACATGAGTTCAAACAATTCCATTTAACATGTACATTTGGTTTACCTGATAGCTACGGTGTGTAAGTATTAAATAGAATATGGTTAATTTCAAACAATTTTACTTTCAGCTCAGAACAAAGCACCCCACTAGAACATTGTGATACCACTTTTTTCAAACAAAATACCAATGCATTCTGAATGTTTTGACCATTAGAATTCAAACAAGCACCTTGCTCCCTATTGTTTATAACTTAGAGCCAGAACAGTAAATCCATAAAGTCCATGCTGACGGCTACCAGCTAATAAACTTCCAGAAAGATTGGCCTGGGGGATGAAAATAGGCTACAATACACGATCCGATAGGATTCTGTTTCTGTTTGAATTAATGCTGATTTCTCTCTCCAGGCTAGTGTACAATCGAACTAGTGGCGCTACTGTTCCCCCAGATGGGGTCGATATCAAAGTCCCTGGATTTGGGAAGACCTTTGCATTGGAATTCCTTGATCCTAGTAAAAGAAGTGTTGGTACGTAATTTGTTTTCATCAAGGTATTTGGGTAGCATCAAGTAGCCAAAGCCCGTGTAGCCTGTTCAGAGTATTGCAGTGTAAATTCAGTGCCAGAAAAGTAAACACAGATGACTGAGTCTTCACCTAACTTCTTTATAAACATATAAAGTAAATTTTACAATACCAGTTGTAGATTTCTCCAACATGGAACAAACTCTAAACAGAAGCAGACATCAGTTTCACTTTAGTTCAGCAGGCAAGCAAGATACACAGCCGAGGAGAGAAGCAGTGTCATTTTCAATAGACAGACTCAGAGCTCAACATAGCTTCAGAGCTGCAGAGCTTACTATAGAGCCACACCTAGGCTACTTCTAGTTTCAGTTTCCAAACAGTCCTTATTGGCTGACTTAGTTGCTATGCCTATTCATTGGCTGACCCCTGTTACCATGATCTATTCCAGTTCATGAATATACTCTGGCATAGCCCATTTTCTCAGAGCCCTTTTTTTTGTCCACCGTTAGCTTTTCTTGCGCCGGATTAATAGGAGGAGCAAATGAGCACACCTGGAGGTCTGACCATATACAGTTAGTCCTCAACTTACAACAGTTCATTTAGTGACCACTCGAAGTTGCAACGGCACTGAAAAAAGCGACTTAGGACCGATTTCCATGCTTACGACCATTGCAGCATCCCCAAGGACACGTGATCAACATTTGGCCGATTGGCCGTGGACTCGTATATTTATGACGGTCGCAGCGTTCCCGGGGTCGTGTGATCCCCTTTTGCGACCTGACAAGCAAAGTCAATGGAGGAAGCCAGATTCACTTAACAACCGCGTTATTAACTTAGCAGCTGCAGTGACTCACTTAACGACTGTCTCACTTAGCAACCCACATTTTGGGCTCAGTTATATCCAACTCTAGGGGGTGGCCTTCACTCGTGTTTCCTAACTGAGGGAGCCAGCGTTGTCCGAAGGGATTTCCTGGGGTCATGTGGCCAGCATGGCTGTATGCCAAAGGCCTACGGAACGCACATACCTTCCTACCGAAGTGGTACCTATTTATCTACTCGCATTTCCATGCTTTTGAATTGCTAGGTGGGCAGGGGCTGGAGCAAGTCATGGGAGCTCACCCCGCCACGCAGCACTCGGGACTCGAACCCGGACTGTTAGCTTTCCAGCTGACAAGCTCAGCATCTTTATCCACTGAGCCACCGTGTCTCGTCCCATCCCCCTCACTGCCTTCAGCAACTAAGGAAAGGTTAAACTTACAGATAATGCCACCTGGTGTGGACATTTGCAGAAACTGAACATTAAAAAATATTTTATAAAAGCTATATACATAAAAGCGAAATACCACTCACGCATCGTCACAAAATCTCCAGAATCGTAAAGCCTAACAAACTTGAAATTTGGCACGTATGTTCGTCTTGGATTCTATGTGCTCACTAAGAAAAGATTTTTCGAAATGACCCATCAGAGCTATTAGTATTTCCTATATTATTATTATTAACACGCTCTGATGCTAAGGAGTTCTACTCTCCCTCCCCACCTGAAAAGAAATCTGTTCCAAATGCAAAACATACGCAGAGGAGAGGAGTTTCAGTTTCACAGCAGCCACCAGCTTTAGTACAGAAACAGTTGAGCTAAGCCGCACCGGCCTTCTTGCTATTCTTGCTCAAACAGCAAATACTGTTTGAGTTTCCAAACAGCCCTCAACTCTCACACACTGACAGGGCGCTAGCCAGATGAATACCAATGGATGCTGGTAGGCACAATCGCGGTGTCCCCCCCCTATTATTTTCCTCCCCAAAAACTAAGCCCGATCACATAGTCTCGTAGCGAAGCACGGGTACACAGCTAGCTAAAAATAAAAGTGAACTTTTAAAGTACGTTTTGTTAATTTAAATTAGTAATAAGAAAAGGAAAAACTTCAAAGTGAGTAGGAATGTGTTTCTGCACATAATAGCTCATTCAATCCATGGTCTCTTTGAAGAACAAGGCATGAGAATTGGCTGCAAAAGAATCTCTGATCTAAGCTCGCTCTGTGTAAAGGGAAGATGGTTGATTAAACTTTTGCTGACTCACAAATTCTCTTTGTCTACAGGCACCTACTTCTACACGCTGGTCCAAAAACTGGTAGACCTGGGCTATGAGCGAGATGAAAGTATTAGAGGTGCTCCTTACGATTGGAGGAAGGCACCAAGTATGACATTCATTATTATAAGGATTTGGGCTCTTAAATCTTTGGATAATAAGATTATTAAAGTTTTTTTTTTAAAGAAAGCTACCGTGCTATCAAGGAAAACGGCGTCTTCTGGAATAATTGTTTTTTCCCCCAAGGTTGCTTCTGGACCTCAAGTAGTCTTAAATACGTTTACTCAGAAAGTTAAAGTTACGGATATTATTTATGGATTTTTGTGCTACCTAATCCCACTAAAAATGAGCAACCTTACAATATATACTTGGAATATCATCCCTTCAAAAGCTGGTTTTGCCAGTGGGCCTGGGGAGCTCAGAGTGGGATGGAGACCATCCAGTGGTTTATCTGACCATGTGTTGTCACCGGGGAAGGGATGGTGGAGGGGGTGTGTGTTATTGTTTTTTTTCTTCTTCTTCTTCTTCTTCTTCTTCTTCTTCTTCTTCTTCTTCTT